TGTCTTTTGGCTCTATAATAGTTAAAATAGTTATAAAAGTTCAACTTTTCCGAAAATTTCCGGAAAAATAGAAAAAATACGAAAATTTCCAGAAAAATTGAAAAAATTGAGATTGATCAGGAAAAACATACCAAACACATTATAGAACAGCCGGATAGGTTCAAGACTGTTGAACTACTTACAGAACAGAGTGAGGGTTAACGTCATACCCAGGTAATGCATACACATCTAGTTCTGGTCGCCCACGGAATTTAAAGGAGCCCCCAAAATGGGCTAACGCTATGTCTCTACTCCATGGCGGTTCTTTGTACCAAGCCACTTTCGTATTCGCGGTAGCTTCGCTTGCCGTTTTGCAACCATGTGAGTGTTTACCCCCCCCCCCCCTGGCTGATTCCTGAGGGGGGTGGTTTCAACCCGTGGTGAAGTCACCCCCCTGATCCGTGTAGGGAGTGGTTTTATCCCGTGGTAGAACCACCCCCCTAGCTGGCTCAGAGGGGTGCATTTATCACGGGATAGAACCACCGGAGGGTGGTTTCATCCCGTGACAAAAGCACCCCCCTGAAAATGGTGGGTCATTTCATCTCGTGATGAAACAACCCCCCATATTTCGCATATTTTACGGGAGAGCGTCCCTGTCATCCTTACGCTTTTTTCGTCTCCACAAGATTGTATACCCAAAATCGGGGCGCATACTTGAAAGCTTGCAAACGGAAGTGCTTTGGAAACGTAATATTCACCAGCTTTGTATTGCAAACACCGTCGCGATTTTTTTGTTTGCATTCTACACACTAAATTACTATGAAGGTTTTTCTGCGCGCCGATGCACGAAATTAAACATGCACTTCGTGACGCACGAATTTGTGCGCGACAATGCACGATTTTCTGCATACTCACGCACGAAATTGTTTCTTGTCGCGCACAAATTCGTGCGTTACGAAGTGCATGTTTAATTTCGTGCATTGGCGCGCAGAAAAAACTACATAGTAACTAGGTGTGAGGCTTTCGTTTTACCGTGTGGTGAGAAGTGCTGTCAAAACCCGTCAAATGTGCAAATTTGGGGGTGGTTTTATCCCGTGATAGATGCACCCCCCTGAGCCAGCTAGGAAGGTGGTTCAAGCACGGGATATAACCACTCCCCAGGACCAGCAGATGGGTGACTTTACCTCGGTATTAAACCACCCCTTCTCAGGAGTCAGCCAAGGGCGGTGGTTTTATCCCGCGGTAAAGTCACCCCCGGTTCTTTTGCCGGGGGTGGATCTATTGCCGTACACCTGTGGTTTGCTTGAATTATCGGGGTCAAGAAGAAATTAGAATCTCGTGAAATAAATATCGCGACGAAATTATGTTGCATCAAAGTGCGAAACCGGAACCCAAAAATTTAAAAATAAACAAGTGTCTGAAGTTAGGGCAACGACATTCGAAATGGCAGTTCTCTATCCAGTAAAGAAGGTCTAAAGCTCGCTGTCCGCGCATGAAAGTGATAGTCATGCCAAAGCTAATTTTGTAAGTAATGTCAACCGACCCGTTCTGTGTCGGTTCCTCTTACTGCCTCCTTGCATGGCCAGACCCCAAACATCGGCTACCCCTAGTATCAGTCACTGTTTCAACCCAGGTCTAAAAATCCGCTCTGTTGACAGCGGATCCGGTTTGGTTGGAGCGGATCCGCTGCGACTTTACGGGATCCACTGCGGCCGTAGTGGATCCTCTAAGTGCTTAGTGGATCCTCTATGGGGTCACAGCGGATCCGCTTGGGCCACACCGGATCCTCTACGATCCTCAGAGGAGAGGATCCGGTGAGTACAGGATCCATTAAGCCATACCGGATCCCTTAGAGCAATACCGGATCCACTGAGCGCTTACCGGATCCACTAACCTAAGCGGATCCACTGTGAGTTTTCCAAAATGAAGTGGCTATAAACTCCAAAGTTTTAGGAATTTTGACCTCAAAATTTATACAGGGTATATTGAAGAGAATTCACTAGGGCCATTTGAATTTCATTGCAATCGAACAACTTGATATCGCTATCTTGTAAACCGCTGATGATAGCGAGAAACGGATTGCAGATTTGGATCGGACTCGGTTTCATTATGCAGGAGTTCACTTTTCAAAATTCAAATCCCTTTGGTAGTTTTCCAAATAAAGATTTCATGTTTGCTCAGAGGATCCACTAAGATCATAAAAGATCCGCTTAGGCCATCCGCTGTGGTGACCGCATCCGCTTTGGTGACACCGGATCCGCTGTGGTAACAACCGGATCCGCTGTGGTGACAGCGGATCCGCCGTGGTGACAACCGGATCCGCTGTAATGACAGTGGATCCGCTACTTAGGGGTAGAATTCGCGTCCGCTTAGAACGGGATCCGCTACCGCACACCGGATCCGCTTTTATACAGGATCCGGTATCGAAGCGGATCCGGTGAGTGTTAGCGGATCCCGTTCTAAGCGGACGCGAATTCTACCCCTAAGTAGCGGATTTTTAGACCTGGGAACATACTTTAAATGAGATTTGAGTTAAGAGCATGCAAAATAGTGGGAACAGTAAGATTTGACTCTGGAACTTTATTGGAACGTAATAAAGAGTAGTTTTCATATTTATCCTACTTTTCCGGGAGCTTGGGAAAAATACGGAAATTTTCCGAAATTTTCCGTATTTTTCCCGGGAAATTTTCCGGCATTAGAATCACTAGATGCTTATATTTCAGCTAATATGGGACGCAGAACGATTCTGAGAAGATATTCGGAAACTTTATTATTTTTTCTATCAGACACATGTTACTGAACTCGTTTTTACGAGCTCGATTTGGGTGCAATCTGTAAACGCAAAATGTCCCCCGTGGTTGACTTCGCGGAACGTTACATGTGAATTATCACGGTTTCTCGCGTTGCACTCGACTGATAGTTCTCGGCTGTCGTCAGATTAATCTGTAGCATTTTTGCCGTCGAATGGTGCAAACGGGAACTCTGAGAAGTTGATAGAAAGCTCAGAATCTTGTATTCTAGGTTATGTTTCGGTAGTGTCCGACCATGATTTTAAAATGATTTTCTGTTCCCCGGGCAAGTTCTAGACCAAACAGAGATATGATTCTTTCGGGACGTGTTGAGGAATCTTAAAAACAGGCGCTCACACCAAATGGCGTGTTTTAATTCATAGCAAGAGAGTTACTAGGCCTGTTTAATGAAAATGTAACGTTCCGTATTCCGCTTTTTTCTGTAGCGTTCCGTGTCTTTCCCCTAGGGGCTTTTTGGTCTTTCTGCAATGTCGCACCGGGAGCTCGACTGCGTTCAGATATAAGTCGTGGGACATCACTGAATAAATTGGCCGAGAGAAAAGCCGACTTTTCCACATTTTTTTCTTGCGTTTCTATGGCCTTCAAAAGTGCCCCGAATTTTTGCAACTGCTCATAGGTGTCAACTATGTAAGTACACGCTTCAGTTTGCAGCGTGCTCGGTACCTACAGCAAACGTGTTGATGTTTTTGCTTCGTACTCGTTCAAAGACCACCAGCGATGCCAGTGTCAAGAGACCGATGGAAAGCGGCAGCGGCGACATGATGCACGGCTGCATATCCTGAATCGGGCACTGAACAGGTGTGAGGGGACGCGCTGCACTTGGCTCCACGCCTCGCGTCCCGTGCGTGCTTCACGCGAGGCATGGCTAGGGTGGTCCAAAAGAAAATGAAGTTGCTCCGATCGTCCGGCGCCGCCCGGATTCGGATTCTACGTCGAAAAAAAATGGATTCTCTAAATCGAAAAGCGTACATTGTATGCTCTACTAGGAGCATGCCTTCAAGCACGCTCTATCTAGCGCATGCCTGCTGCATGAACACTGCAACAAGCACCAATCTAAAACGGGTGTCCACAAAAACCACCGACCTGATTCTGGATCATAGTAAACTATCCGATCTAGCATTTACACGGGTTCCGAGCTGGAATTACGTCCCTATAGTTCTCGTTAAGCTGAACCGCAGTACATTATTAGTGAGTGATTGAAAAGAAACCCCTAGTTTAAGTGAAAAAATGTGACATTAATTCCCTGCATGCACCTTGACCACTTTCTGTATGTCGCAGGCAACTTTTGCGACATCCCCCTCCCCTCAACCCGTTTCTGAATCCACACTTCAGGTAGCCAACGAATGTGACGTCACGTTCGTTTGAATATGATGTCACGTTTGAGTGTTGATCCACGTTCAAACGAACGTGACTCATACTCCAACGATTATGACGTCACGTTCGTTGGCTACCAGTGTTGACACGCCGAATACAGTGAACTGAGCACACTGTTGAGTTTGCAGAGTCCTTACTGCAGACCAAACATGCAAAAGGTTTCTCGCCGGTGTGGGTGAGGATGTGACGTCTGATGTGTTTAGATTGACTGAACTCCTTGCGAACTAACCTACCAGTTCGTAAAAGTAAATTGCGAAAAAACATGCAAATGAAGGTACATTTCACGAGCCTGTCTACCCTAGTAGAAAATCCAAATTTGCACTTCCGAACAGGTTAAATTGTTGTTCAGTTTATGGGCTTTCTTTATCTATATTCGAAAATAGTAGGTGTGGCAGTCCGGCCATCAGGAGCTGAAGGCCACAATGAACAACCCTGCACTCAAATTTTGGGTACGCAAAATACACAATTTGAGCGTAGAAGCTCAGCGTTTGGAGCTACAAATATGCCGCTTATGCCATTCGAAAGGGAACTTTGAGACGAATCCATCCCATTTTACATTTTATTTTCGAAAGTGCTCTGTGACCATAACATTGCAGACAAGTTCCAATGAGTAAAAGAGGTCCTTGGATGTCCAAAGGATCCCCTCATGCTGGAAACTTAACTTCACGAAAAGCAGAGTACAGTGGAGGGAGGTGCAAGAAAAAAGGGAGTAAGGTGAAGAAGAACTTCAACCGAAACATTCCTTTTGTGTTTCTTCACACCGCGCCTCTCGACCCACTAATTGCTTATGAATCAGAGCCTTTGGGTTTGCAGTGAGACAATGAAATTTGAAAACCATTCCTCACAATGGGTGTCAACATTTATTTTGCGGTAAAATATTTGCACGAATGTTGACAGAAACTCAGTTTTGTTAGTCAAGCGTCTAAAAATGCCACCAATAAACAGGTAAGGTGACAATACAACTGAAAATAACAAGGCGAACACAAAACAATATCAATAGGCGTCCTGGTAAAGAGGACAAGAGATAAATAAGACAAGCGGAAAAATGCAGTGAATACAAAAACTTAAAGAGCTAAGGACTTAACTAGTACCGCTCTTTCTAAACCAGTGCAATACTTACGAAACCTCAACACATTGCCAACTAACTGTTAAGAATGATCAAGTAACGTGTAAAGCGCGAGCATAAAAGCTTTTAACAAGTCTTGTACTTTAAGAATCTGTCTAAACAAGACCTTCCACAACATGATTTGCACGCTGCTGTAAGAAAAAACACCATCAAGTAACTTCTCTTGACTAACGAGCCACTGACTCGCAATACTCCTGCTGTGAATGCAGATGTGTCTTTTAAGACTGCCTCCGCGATTCGACTTAACCGAACAGATCGACCCACTGGACTTCCCCCCGGTGTCAGAGCGCAGGTGCTTTTTAAGCTGTGAAGTTCGATTTAACTTCCTCAAATAGCTTCTCGCCTCTATGGGTACGAAGGTGACGTCTAAGGTGAGCTGCTTGACTGAACTTCTTGTTGCAGACCGAACATTCGAATGGCTTCTCGCCGGTGTGCGTGCGGAGGTGCTTCCTTAGGTATGCAGATTGACTAAACTTCTTGTCGCAGACCGAACATTCGAAAGACTTCTCTCCGGTGTGGATGCGGAGGTGACATCTAAGGTCCCCAGTTCGACTGAACTTCTTGTTGCAGACCGAACATTCGAATGGCTTCTCTCCGGTGTGGGTAGTGAGGTGCTTTCTTAGGTGTGCAGATTGACTAAACTTCTTGTCGCAGACCGAACATTCGAAAGGCTTCTCTCCGGTGTGAGTTCGGAGGTGACATCTAAGGAGCCCAGTATGACTGAATTTCTTATTGCAGACCGAACACTCGAATGGCTTCTCACCCGTGTGGGCGCGGAGGTGCGATTTCAGGTTTCCACCATGAAGAAACTTCTTGTTGCAGACAGCACATTCGAAACGGTTGTCACCAGTGTGGGTGCGGAGGTGCGTTCTTAAGTGTCCAGCTTGACTTAACTTCTTGTCGCAGACCCAACATTCGAAAGGCTTCTCCCCGGTGTGGCAGCGGAGATGCGCAGTCAGCACTGACCTATAACGGAACTCCTTGGCGCACACGGCGCATCGGTGAGCCATTTTCGGGACCTAAGGCAAACAAGTGCATGTAGCGCATCCAAAACCCAAGTGCTATGAATTCTCTTTCATCTCATTCAACACGCGGCAGAAACTTACCTCCGAAATTGTGGCCGGCGTTGTGCAGTTCGCTCGGAGTCGTCGCTGAGAGATAAGGCTGCTCGGCTGGGTAGCGCTTGGATGAGCTGGAACAAACCAGAGATTGATTTTCGGATTCTCAAATTGCCCGGGACACAATCAGGGGTGGCAATGGTCGTGAGGTCATGCTCGCTCTGTCGACCCAAGGGTTGCATACTTTGTAGTTTTTTCGGGCACCGCTTTTGAATGGAATCAAGGATGCGCGTGAAATGCACGAATACATGCGTGATGATTCACATTTCCGTGTTTAGTTACTCACAAACTCGTGAATTCAAAAACAAATGCTCAATTTTGTGAAAAGCTTATGCACGATAAACTACACAGCAGAGTAATCTGCGCACTTGAGCGCACGACTGGAAACTAGACCATTATGTTTTCAACACGCACTGGGCAGATGGATGGATTTGTGCTCATTAGAGCTTTGGGCTGATTATCTTTCTTGGTACTGCCTTCAATACCCATACTTCAAGGTTTGCACACGGTGAAACCGATGTCTGGAAATTTCCAGATATTTTTCCGACAATGTCTGGAAATGAGAAAAAATATCTGGAAATTTCCAGACATCGGTTTCACCGTGCATCAAAGACACAAAAGAATGGAAACTTGGGGAAATGCGCGGCCGCGGCATCACTAAAGATTATCTCCCTTGCGAGGGTGAATGTGTGAATAGTACAACAAAATCTGTGCAATACCTGTAAAACAGGGATTGTAGAAAATACACCGAGAATTTACAAAGCACAACGACTGCACAGCACTCGTTATGCCGGTTCCCTTGTATGTACTTTGTAAGACAACAATTGTTGCACTTTAACAGTACAATAAATCCCTGATAAAAAAAAATTGCCAGGAATTTGCGTACTTTTGATGTAGTTTCTGGCAGTGAACAAGGCCATTGCGCGACAGATTGTACTAATGACTTAAACTCAAAAACTGTACCAGCTAGAACCGAAGGGCATTGCTTTTCCTTGGTGATCAAACCGTACCGAAGTTTTGTCCCGATATGGACCACGGGGTGGCAACGGCCTAGGGAGAGCGTGAAGCGATGCTCGCACCGTCAGTGCAGAGGTTGCGCACTTGTTCGAGATTATGAAAACTAGACTGTGTTTTTCAAAACGCTTTGCACCGATGAAAAGGGCTTGAAATTTAGGGTGTACTAGGCTAATTGCTCTTCTCGAAACTCCCCCCTTACCTAATATTCAGGCGCTGTGAAAACACCAAAAACACGAGAAATCATAAAATTTAGGAAAAAACTCGAATGCGCCATGTTGATGTAAATGATTCCGCCCTTGTGTTGGGTTGAATAGGGTATTCCGATGGAACTGAACCGGAACCCCGAGCAGTAGAAATATCTGGATCCGATATGAGAAATCAGGTGTGCGGAGGACTGAAAGTATGCAAAATCGGGTGTGCGAATGACCTCCGCACACCTGATTTCTCATACCGGATCCAGATACTACTGCTCGGGGTTCCGGTTCAGATCCATCGGAATACCCTATAGGGTACTTTCGTAGATCCCTGAGCCGGAAGCACACAGACGCCACGTTGGCGGAAGTAGGTCCAAACTTGACATGGGAAAGAGACGTTCGTCAAAGGTATCGGCCACACTTGAACATAAACAGTCGTTTGATACTTGTTTGCAGTGCATATGTGTTTCGCGAGCAATATTTGTACAGCTCGGCTATAGTTTTGGATCCGAAGAGAGGTTAGTTTCCGGCCAATTTGGCGTCTGCTGGTCTGCTTGCTTCCGGTTCAGGATTCTACGAAAGTACCCTATTGGAAGTGTCGGGCAGTCTACTAGGCCTAATGCACCCCAAATTTTGAGCTCTTTTGATCTGTGCAAAGCGTTTTGCAATCAACGGGCTAGATCTTACAATCGAACGAAGCCAAATAAGTAACCCCTGAACCTCGCTCCCGCATGGCTTCACGCGCTTCCTAGGCCGTTGCCGCCCCCTGTATGGACCAAGTCCAAATTCCGCTCCCATGAGTTTTATTATTTTGGAGGCCTAAATCAATATAACTCAGGGAAGCGGAATTTGGACGGACATGGTCCATATGTAAAAAAACCTCCGATACGCCTTGATCATCAAGGAAAGGCTTTTCCATTCGTAACCTCGACTCGAAGTCAGTGCAAACTACAATTGAAGTCCTTCTTACTTCCGGTCGAAGTCGCCGTTAAAATACTTTATCCAGATTGGTAGCGATGGTAATATCAACGTTAATGACTCACCGTGCACACGTAAAGTATGACCGTCAGGCTTCCGTCGAGCACGTTCCGCAAGTCCCGGGGACAACACCTGTCAGAACATTGAGGAGGGAGTTAAGGACCAAACAGCAAGTCTTGCGTATTCCCTGTATCCACTTCTATCCATCGATCAAATAAATACACCGTTAGTCGAGTCGCGTCGTCCAATCAGAAATCAGGCCTCTGATTGGGCGACAAGATCCGACGTCCAGTGCATTTGTTCACACGAAGTGTGACAGTGAATCCGCCAAATGGCCGTTATCGTTCATAAGGAAAATTGGCTGAGCGTTTACCGAATGTTCCTCGGTAGCCGTCGGCTCTCAGAAGTGAAATGAATATCGTTGAAGTTGATTGATGACCACTCGGCACTTTACCGTACGTTGTGGGCTCCTACCCGCAGACAGCACTTTGCTTTCGTTGGTGGCTCTCAGCGGTGAAGCAAAGAGTTGCATGTTGCCCCTGTAGGCAGGCAACCTTGGATACATCGTGCTGCCCCCTCTGAATTCGCCTTTGCACGGTGAGTGTGCTGCACACTGTCAGAAGCCCACGGAGCATTTGCTTCATAACTTCGACGAAAATGAAGGCGTTTTAGAAGTGCTTCGTACTAGGGAGATATGTTTCGTACAACGAAGGGTCTTTCATAGTACGAACCATTTATTCGGGGCCTCAGTTGAACACGAAACAGCCAAAGCAGGAGGGTTGACCTCGCCGTAAGGAGCACTGAGAAAACCTTACAAACTATTTTGGGCCTTACAAAGAAAAGTAGTTTGTATAACAAAGTATTTTGAGCATACGTAAGCTTACAAAGAAAATACTTCGTAATTTACGAACTATTTCTTCGTATAACAAAGTATTTTAGTTTGTTATATGTATGCTCAAAATACTTCGTAAGGTTTTAAGAGTGAGGAATTTGCTAGTTTTTCTTAATTTAAAAGTTCCCAAGGCTGCAGCGCCCAAACCATACCCATACCACCCAAATGCCGAGCCGTGCTATTTTAGGTGGTAGTATGAGATACGATTTCCCGCATAGAGTTGACCAAGTTTGGATTCGGGTGTAGCTTTAAAACGCACCAACGTAAAACCTTAAGAAAAGTGATTTTTCGTCAAAATTGGCGTTTTTCTCTATGATAGACTGCCCAGGAGTCCGTTTGGGCCCTGAAATCGAATTCCCCATGCAGTTTTCTTTGAACACTGTTAAAAAATGGTTGTACAAAAACAATCAGATGAGTGAAAATTTAGTCGTTCCAAAACATAGAATTTCATCATGAACCAAAGCGAAACAAATGTCGTTGACTCAAGTCAGCAACAATTTGTCGTTGAAAACCATATTCTTGTTATCACCCTTAACGATACAATTTGTGTGGAAACAACATCTTTTGCAATTATCTGCTCAATTAAAGCGAATAATGAAAATTCATCTATTTTGTCCGCCAAGTCATAGTGAAATTACTATTAATGAAAAAAGAACCATGCAAAATAAATTTAGCGACAAAAGTTCTCCATGAGTACTTGTCGAAGACATAACAAAATCTTTTTCGACTTACAATAGTTGTCATTGATTTACAACATTTGCTGTTGGTCAACGACTTGTTTTTGAAAGTGGACTGTTGATGTGTTATTACAAGTTAGTCATTGTGAAATTATCCTTTAGTTCCTGTACGACTATGGTTTAACTAGCTATTCGTTCCACAACAAATCTTGTCGTTAAAACAAGCCAGGGCCCGCCCTCCCGTCGAACCGAGTTGCCAGCTCCGCTTTGCTGCGCCGGCAACTCGGTTCGACAGGGGGCCGGCCCAGCTTGGCCTGCCGGCGGCCTTTCCTCGGGCCTTCGGCCCTCGCATCAGACCCAACTTGGCCAGTCGAAGGCCCGGGCCTTCGGCCCGCTCGCATCACACACCCCGTGAGGGGGTAAAGCAAAGTTATCGATGTACCATCGTGACTTAGGCCCGCCCTTCTATTCACAATATGCAAAAGTCCTTACACTTTTTACTCCAACTGTCCTTAGAATATGCCCATTTCATTTGTCTCTTAGCCCTCATTCCGAAAATACCCATATTTGCCATGCTACTGCAACTCCTTGCAATAGAGGCCCAGCAGGAGCGCAAAACGAGTCCGTCGCACTTTTTCCCATAACTCATGAAGGCGGGCTCCTGGACCCCCCATCCGACCCCTCGTTTAAGAGACCTGTCGAAAACTTAAGTAAAAATTTTCAGTCGGTCGACTCCCTTTTTTCAAAATCCTGATGTGACTTATAGACGAAGTCGGGCTCCTAGATCCCCTTTCCGACCCCTCGTTGAAAAGGTCTTGCTGAGACCAATCGAAATCTGCAATAATTTTTTTTAGTCGGTCGAACCCCTTTTTTGAAGATCCTGATCTGGCCAACTTGTAAAAGCGGCCGATGGGGTCGGGACCAGGTCCATTCATCTTGTCTCGTCGCCCCGATTCCAAAAATACCCCTATGTGCCCTGCTAGCACCAATAATGGCGGAAATCCCCCTCCCGCTCATGTAAACCATGATGCACCTGCAGCAGCCCTTGTGCGACCCGGACGGGATTTGCACCACCGGATTATTTGTTTGGACGGTACTCCTGAAGTACCCTCCAAATCTGGTTACTCTAGCTCAACTCCTTCCTTGTACACAGACGCCAACAACAACAACAACCCTCCCCCTATTTTTATAATAGAAGGGCGGGCCAAAAATTAGCGACATTAGCGACAAATGTGTCGCTAAGTTACGACAAAATTTTTATCAGTGAAGATTTTCCTTTTTTCCCCTCTCTCTCCCATATATTTCCCTTAGGCCGGAATGGAAATGACTCTAGGATCCTTTTTAACAAGCTAGGGCCCGCCCTTCCGTCGAACCGAGTTGCCAGCTCCGCTTCGCTGCGCCGGCAACTCGGTTCGACAGGGGGCCGGCCCAGCTTGGCCTGCCGGCGGCCTTTTCTCGGGCCTTCGGCCCTCGCATCAGACCCAACTTGGACAGTCGAAGGCCCGGGCCTTCGGCCCGCTCGCATCACACACACCGTGAGCGGGTAAAGCAAAGTTATCGATGTACCATCGTGACTTGGGCCCGCCCTTCTATTCACAATATGCAATAGTCCTTACACTTTTTACTCCAACTGCACTCTACAAACTCAAGTGTGTACATAGTACACTCCACCTGGAGTAAACATGCATGTACACTTCAACCTGGAGTGTACTTAGCATGTACACTTCAACCTGGAGTGTACTTGGCATGTACACTCCATTTTGGCGTGTACCTTCAGGTACACTGTTGCTGGCTCCCTGCTGCAGGTATGAGCCACCTGGCATGTACTTGACAAGTACACTTCAACCTGGAGTGTACATGCCAAGTACACTCCAGGGTGAAGTGTACATGCTAAGTACACTCCAGGTTGAAGTGTACATGCCAAGTACACTCCAGGGTGAAGTGTACATGCTAAGTACACTCCAGGTTGAAGTGTACATGCAAGTACACTCCAGGTTGAAGTGTACATGCAAGTACACTCCAGGTGGAGTGTACTATGTACACACTTGAGTTTGTAGAGTGTCCTTAGAATACGCCCATTTCATTTGTCTCTTCGACCTCATTCCGAAAATACCCATATTTGCCATGCTACTGCAACTCCTTGCAATAGAGGCACAGCAGGAGCGCAAAACGAGTCCGTCGCACTTTTTCCCATAACTCATGAAGGCGGGCTCCTGGACCTCCCTTCCGACCCCTCGTTGAAGAGGTCTTGCCAAGACCTATCCAAAACTTAGGGTAGAGTGCCGAACATGGATCGGGATACCAAACATGGATCATTTCTGTTTTGGGGGTCTATAACTAAAGACCAGTTGACCAGATTCTAAATTTCTGTCTTTCCTTGCTCAGACTGACCCTTTGACTGTTCGATGTGAATCTGACAAGTTTGTAACTGCGTCTCTCTACTCTGCAGGGTTGCGTTTAGAAAGACACCTAAAACAGGCCCCCGAAAATCGATGGAAAAATGACGTTCAAAAAGGTGATTTTTGCACCCCTGATTCTGGGCCAAGCAATCACCGCAGTCACTTCAAAATTTTTCATCGTGCACTTTGGACAGACTACTTTGATATTTTGGGACTACTGAATGCATACCTTGCTTTGTGTCCGTACGCTGGTGGGGTGATCCATGATTGGACCACCCTAACCTAACCTTAGCAAAAATAGCCATATTTTCTTGTCCGCACAACTTCCAAAGTATTCGAGTTAGAGGTACCATTTTTGGTAGCCATATGACCAGTAAGGTAAACATCAATATTAGATTTAAAAAAAGTAGTCAACCCATACTTAATTTCGATCTAGAGAAGATTATTTAAAAAGTGATCCATGTTTGGTAACCTTACCCTAAGTAAAATTTTTCAGTCGGTCGACCCCCTTTTTTCAAGATCCTGATGTGACTAATAGACGAAGTCGGGCTCCTGGACCCCCTTTCCGACCCCTCGTTGAAAAGGTCTTGCTGAGACCAATCGAAATCTGCAATAAATTTTTTTAGTCGGTCGACCCCCTTTTTTGAAGATCCTGATCTGGCCAACTTGTAAAAGCGGCCGATTAGGTCGGGACCAGGTCCATTCATCTTGTCTCGTCGCCCCGATTCCAAAAATACCCCTATGTGCCCTGCTAGCACCAATAATGGCGGAAATCCCCCTCCCGCTCATGTAAACCATGATGCACCTGCAGCAGCCCTTGTGCGACCCGGACGGGATTTGCACCACCGGATTATTTGTTTGGACGGTACTCCTGAAGTACCCTCCAAATCTGGTTACTCTAGCTCAACTCCTTCCTTGTACACAACGCCAACAACAACAACAACAACAACAACAACACACAGACACAAAGGCAAATGCATAGGCCCTCCCCCTATTTTTTGAATAGAAGGGCGGGCCAAAAATTACCACTGACTGTAAGGGATCTGTTGATTTTTAAGTTTAACGAAATTACGTTAAAATGACGAAAGTGCATAATAACGCATTAAACGCCCATTTTGGGCGCATAAAAGCCGCATAATTTCGGATTTTGGGTGCATAATGGCCGCATAATCACCCTGTTTCAAATGCATACAGGTGCAAAATTTGGCCGCATAATAAGAGGTTTTCGAATGGATAATTTTCCTATCTCTAACAAGCTAGGGCCCGCCCTTCCGTCGAACCGAGTTGCCAGCTCCGCCTCGCTGCGCCGGCAACTCGGTTCGACAGGGGGCCGGCCCAGCTTGGCCTGCCGGCGGCCTTTTCTCGGGCCTTCGGCCCTCGCATCAGACCCAACTTGGCCAGTCGAAGGCCCGGGCCTTCGGCCCGCTCGCATCACACACACCGTGAGCGGGTAAAGCAAAGTTATCGATGTACCATCGTGACTCAGGCCCGCCCTTCTATTCACAATATGCAATAGTCCTTACACTTTTTACTCCAACTGTCCTTAGAATATGCCCATTTCATTTGTCTCTTCGCCCTCATTCCGAAAATACCCATATTTGCCATGCTACTGCAACTCCTTGCAATAGAGGCACAGCAGGAGCGCAAAACGAGTCCGTCGCACTTTTTCCCATAACTCATGAAGGCGGGCTCCTGGACCCCACTTCCGACCCCTCGTTGAAGAGGTCTTGCCAAGACCTATCCAAAACTTAAGTAAAAATTTTCAGTCGGTCGAGCCCTCTTTTTCAAGATCCTGATGTGACTAATAGACGAAGTCGGGCTCCTGGACCCCCTTTCCGACCCCTTGTTGAAAAGGTCTTGCTGAGACCAATCGAAATCTGCAATAAGTTTTTTTAGTCGGTCGACCCCATTTTTTGATGATCCTGATCTGGCCAACTTGTAAAAGCGGCCGATGGGGTCGGGACGAGGTCCATTCATCTTGTCTCGTCGCCCCGATTCCAAAAATACCCCTATGTGCCCTGCTAGCACCAATAATGGCGGAAATCCCCCTCCCGCTCATGTAAACCATGATGCACCTGCAGCAGCCCTTGTGCGACCCGGACGGGATTTGCACCGCCGGATTATTTGTTTGGACGGTACTCCTGAAGTACCCTCCAAATCTGGTTACTCCTGCTCAACTCCTTCCTTGTACACAGACGCCAACAACAACAACAACAACACACAGACACAAAGGCAAATGCATAGGCCCTCCCCCTATTTTTTGAATAGAAGGGCGGGCCAAAAATGTAGCAATTTGGTCAAAAACCACTTAAGAAAAAAAGTCAAAAACTAAGATTGCCCATAACTCCTATGAAACGACACCTAGGTGGCTGAAATTTTACCCCGATGTTTACCTATGGGTAGGTAACATTTGAGCCAAAAATGGGCCAAATCGTCGATGGTCCATTTTGGGCACTGCTGATTGGCCCTGGTTTGCCCCTTATTTTATTTTTCAGTGGGCTTGGGACCAAGTGACGGCCGAGACCGCATCGCCAATTGTTTCCGCCACGCTGGATTTGGAACAATTTTGGAAGGGTTGCTGCTGCACGCGAGCCTCGGCCTGCGCCTCCCACTCGTGCAGAGCGCCCACGTGCAGCACAGCGCCAGTACTCGGAGGCCCGCCATCAAGAAGAGGAGGAGGCCGAAGAGAGAGCCGACGGAAAATGACGCTACCGATGAGGCAGAGGAAGTTCAGGAAAATGCCGGCGATGCGACTGCGGAAAAACAGCTCGAAGATGACGACGATGAGGCTGCCGAGGAGCTGGAAGATGACACCGAAGAGCTTGTCGTCATAGAAGTGGAGGAAGAATTCACTGACAGGTAAGCACCAATTCAAGAAGGATCCAATTTCACTGGGTGTTGCTGGCACTCGGTTAACTCTCCTTTTCTTAACAGCTGGGACGTTGTTATCGAGCACCTCGGCTCGAAAGCGGACGGGGCAACGATAGGGCAATTCGACGATGATGTACCCATCTGCCAACCGTTCACGGAAGAGGAGCTCCTCGCTCGCAGTGAGCCGGAACAAGACAACGCGGAAGCTTTGGGGGACGAGCTGGACGAGGCGGGTGAAGGAGAAGAACCCCGGCATGCGAGTCAGGCAGAAGGCCTGAGCGCCCGGCCCTCTCTACGGTCCGAGATTTTATGGGCCAGCTTCCGGACGCTGTGGAGAATGGGGCCTTCTCCCTCATTTCAAAGCTTGAAACCCTGGCTATTCAATTCAGCAGTAAGACCCCCCCCCAAAAAAAGGTCAAAAATTAGTGATTTTTTCCAACGGTCATTTTAACATACCAACCGGTACCAACAATGTATGTATGCACCTAATTAGTGTCTGTCTTAATTTTTTAGTGCTAAGTTAATTTTTCTTTGATGTATGCAGTTGTCTATTATTGTAGAGCTGCAATAAAGAAGTACATACTGTTAAACAATCACAATTCTTGTACGTTTATGCCCTAAACTTGTCATTTAACTTTCACCTTTTGTATTTGGCACCAAAGACTTCAATATGATAAAATAGCTGAATTTTTGTCGAAAATTCGTTATAACAAGGCCAAAAATGGCCCGTGGGCCGGCGAAATCCTTACGATATATTGAGGATTTCGTTATAACGAGGTTCGTTTTATCGAGGATATTTTAATGCTTTTTCCTGCAAATGGCTTGGTTCCGCGAAAATATAACGTTTTAGAGGGGACTCGCGACGCTCGCTGGGGGCTCCGCCCCCAGACCCCCGCATGTGTGGGGCGCGTACCGAAGTATTTTTTTAAGTCCGTGGTGACCAAAGGCAAATTTTCTTAGGAAGTGTACTGCTTTTTTGAAAGGTCTATTTAACAGCTTTTGACCATATAATTAAGCTAATTTTACTGCCCTAAAATATAGCTAGTATTGCATTGGCTACTGTGGCAGTCAATGGGTGCATACAAGGTCCGGAAAATATTGAAGACTGCTTAGACAAGGATAGAGGTGAATGGAAAAAACCGCAAGTCTCTACGACCACTCCTTGACCCTAAACATTTCTATGAGTGAGTAAGTCAGTGGACCGATATTATATACACGCCGCGTGTCCCCAATGCCGCTTTTTGTTATTGAGACGCGGCGTGTACATAATAATTACGCGGGTAAGGGACACGCCGCGTAGCTCTAACTGAAAAAAAAATTATTGACACGCCGGAAAAGCGTTCTGAGCTGATCGGACCGGCTTTTCCGGGGTTTTTCCGGCGTATCAATAATAATTTGTAGCTTTATGTTGACGCGGCGTGTCCCTAATGGTGTATTTTCTTATTGACACGCTTCAAACTCGTTTCGGCGTGCCTTTAATATTTTTCCAAGTTAGGTGCACGCGGCGTATCTCCAATGCTGTGTTTGCTTATTTAAACACCGAATGGAAAAATGTGTTTCTAGCGAGGAACCCGTCCCGCCAGGCTGGCATGGTGGGTGGGTGGTACCGCACCCGCATGCTAAGTTTTTGTCCCCGGTTCGAATCCCACAGAGTGCGGCGTGCAAATAATATTTTCCCACTTTGTTTGCACGCCGTGTGCGAATAATAAATCTAGCAGTTAAAGACACGCGGCGTGAACGCAACGGTACAATTTCTTATAGAGACGCCTCAAACTCTTTCTGGCGTGTACATAATACTTTTAGCCCCAATTTCCACGCGGCGTGTCTATAAGGCACTAAATCGTTGTTTACACGCTTGGTCAGTACAAAGTGCTCCAAACTTGCAACCCGATCGGCCAGGAAGGCGTCGTGGGCCGGTGGCACCGCACCTACATGCTAAGTTTTTGTCCCCGGTTCGAATCCCGTCAAATGCGGCGTGCAAATAATGTTTTCTCCCTTTGTTTGCACGCCGTGTGAGAATAATCAATTTAGCAGTTAGAAACACGCGGCGTGGACGCAACATAAGGTTTTCTTATTTACACGCTTCGAAACACGCGCTAAGTCCTCAAGCACGGCGAACAGAGCTCTGGGATGGCTGGTGTCTGTTAGGACCACGACGGTGTCATCCACGAGGAAACACTTAGGTGGTAGGCACCCTCCCCTTGAGGACTTAGCGCGTGTTTCGAAGCGTGTAAATAAGAAAACCTTATGTTGCGTCCACGCCGCGTGTTTCTAACTGCTAAATTGATTATTCTCACACGGCGTGCAAACAAAGGGAGAAAACATTATTTGCACGCCGCATTTGACGGGATTCGAACCGGGGACAAAAACTTAGCATGTAGGTGCGGTGCCACCGGCCCACCACGCCTTCCTGGCCGGTTGGGTTGCAAGTTTGGAGCACTTTGTACTGACCAAGCGTGTAAACAACGATTTAGTGCCTTATAGACACGCCGCGTGGAAATTGGGGCTAAAAGTATTATGTACACGCCAGAAAGAGTTTGAGGCGTCTCTATAAGAAATTGTACCGTTGCGTTCACGCCGCGTGTCTTTAACTGCTAGATTTATTATTCGCACACGGCGTGCAAACAAAGTGGGAAAATATTATTTGCACGCCGCACTCTGTGGGATTCGAACCGGGGACAAAAACTTAGCATGCGGGTGCGGTACCACCCACCCACCATGCCAGCCTGGCGGGACGGGTTCCTCGCTAGAAACACATTTTTCCATTCGGTGTTTAAATAAGCAAACACAGCATTGGAGATACGCCGCGTGCACCTAACTTGGAAAAATATTAAAGGCACGCCGAAACGAGTTTGAAGCGTGTCAATAAGAAAATACACCATTAGGGACACGCCGCGTCAACATAAAGCTACAAATTATTATTGATACGCCGGAAAAGCTTTTCCGGCGTGCTAATAAGAAAACTAGACATTGCAGACACGCCGCGTGAAAATAACGCCATTTATTATTATATACACACCAGCGGTTTTCCGGTGTGCATATAACTGTATTTTTTCTTATAGAAACGCGGCGTGTCTATAATCACTCCGAAGTCAGTGAGTCAGTCAGTCGGCTTGGGGCTATATAGGTTCTTGATTGATGATTTTGAGGACGTAGCCGGTGACGGGGACCTGATTGCGGCATAGTTTCGGAAATGTCTCGACTTGACCTATCGATAGGGCGAATAAAAATTTTTAGTCGGTCGGTCCCCTTTTTTGAAGATTGAGTGGATTTTGTTGAATTTAGGCCTATTTAATGGTTTTGAGGATGTTGCCGGTGACGGGGACCAGATTGCGGCACAGTTTCGGAAATGTCTCGACCCGACCTACCGATAGGGCGAATAAAAATCTTTAGTCGGTCGGTCCCCTTTTTTGAAGATTGAGTGGATTTTGTTGAATTTAGGCCTATTTAATCGTTTTGACGGTGTTGCCGGTGACGGGGACTCGATTGCGGCACAGTTTCGGAAATGTCTCGACCAGACCTACCGATGGGGCGAATAAAAATTTTTAGTCGGTCGGTCCCCTTTTTCGAAGATTGAGTGGGTTTGCTCGTTTGCTCAGAAACGGTGAGGAATTTGGTCCCCTTTTTTTGAAGATAAAGTAGGTTTGCTCGGAGACGGTGAGAAATTTTGAACTTTTGGGATTTTCCCAATTTTCCCATTAAATTTGGAATCGAATGGAAAAAACCGCAAGTCTCTACGACCACTCCTTGACCCAAACATTTCTATGAGTGAGTGAGTGAGTGAGTCAGTCGGATTGGGGCTATATACAGGGTGAGTTTCCTCAATGTGTCAATAATTTGCAGGCACACTGAAAAAAAAGTCTGGTTAAAAGTACCAGACCAATCCTAGTTAAACGAGTACTAGTTAGTCATACGAGAATCCTAGTAACTCTCACCAGATGATCAGTGGCAGTAACCAGATCGGGTGTTGTGACATTTACCAGGTGTCTGGTTAATAATTCTGGTACATTTTACCAGACTGTTCAGTAATTGGCACCATACGTAAAACTTCGAAATATTCGTTTCAATTGAAATATTCGGGTGTCAAAAACTAAACTGCAACCGGTTTCGTGATTTTTGGAGTCTTAAATCCGAAAGAAACACTGGGAGTATTTCCCTGAGCCAGACACGAAGAGAGTCACCTGGTGGGGATCCCCTCGGCCCACAGGCGACGTGGTGGCGCGGTGGTAACGTGCCCGTCTCACAAGTGTGAGATCCCGGTTCGAATCCGGAGGAGAGGAGGAGGGAAAAAACAGTTCAGAGGTTGTTCGTCAACGAAATCGATATCACATCAGGTTTCAACACTATGAAAATACGTTTTATAAAAATTTTGGACTTCTTGCTTCTGTTTCGTAAGCACATTAACTAACCAGGATGTTTGGTAAAAACTACCAGAAGAGGTCCTGGTGGCATTGTAAGGATAACTAAAAATCTGGTACGGTTTACTAGACTGAGGCTAACTAGACAGTTTGGTATTTTTTACCAGAATTCTAGTTGAGTTATATTCTATCAGACAGTCTGGTATTTGGTACCAGGATTCTGGTTATCGTTACTAGACTTTTTTTTCAGTGCAGTTTGGGCATCTCTAGGGGACCATTTTTCGCCAATGAACTAGTGGGCGCAAACGTCTAGGTACGGAGATAATTGGTGTTTTGTAATTGGATTTTGCGCCTACGAGGTAGGCACTCGGTGCCACTGAGGGCGGCAGGACCTGTCGATGGGGTGTCGCGGGACTAGCAGTACTCGCGGGAGTGCCACTGATCTCGCGGAAGTATCTGAGGAATCCCGCCACCCTCGCAAAGACAGCCGTGAGATCCACTGTAACGGGGGCCACCATGACAGCCTCTTCAGACCCGCGGCAACCCCTCCCAAAAGACATTTGCAAGGTCCGCCGCACCCCTACGAGACTCGAAGCACCCCTCCCAGACCCGCGACACCCCCACGCGAGGTCCTGCGACCATCAGTGGCTGAGGGTGCCTACCTCGCAGGCGCGAAGGCCAATTACAAAACACCAATTATCTCCGTACTTAGACGTTTGCGCCCACTAGTTCATTGGTAGAAAATGATCGTCTTGGGGTGCCCAAACTACCTACAAATTATTGACACATTGAGAAAACTCACCCTGTAGGTTCTTGATTTCGTTATATGGAGGATCGTTCTAACGAGGTTTTACTGCGATTCTCTCATTTCACATCCAATCCTGACACCTGTTAGGACATTTTTCTATATTTCTACGTTCACAAGTCCATTCCTGCAAAGGTATTTAGTCTTAGT